TTACGGTGACGATGATGCCGACAAACTTGTAGCCCGAGTATGCGATCAGATCGTAAAGCTGCGAATCGTTCGAGATGCCCAACAAGTAGCAGCCCAGCTTGAGACCGAGGATCTCTGCCATGACTATTACTAGGGCCGTCGACGCTGTGTATCCGAGAAGTTCTGGCTGGAACTGGCCGCGGAGACCAGCAAGGAGCGTAGAGAGAAGGATGTATGTCACGACAGCCATGACGGGAATGTACATATCGGGACTGTTGATGTCGTCTCGCGGAGGGAGATACCATCCTTCCTGTCCGCTAGGCCCGACGGACTGCTTGCGCGACCATGGCTTGTGCCTCCAAGGGAAGAGGACGAGGACTATTTTGTTGATGACGTAGGAGTTGGAAACGTTGAAGTAGTGCTTCAGGGCGTTGACGTTAACGTATCGGTTGAACTTCAAGCAGGGTTAGCTTCAGAAGAAACTTGATGCATCTCGACAGTTGAACGGCGAGATGCTTAGAGGTCTGCCTCCCCGTCCCTAGACTTGACGTACGTTTTGCTCCATGTACTCCTGGCCATGCTTGAAAGCCGTCTGGCCAAACTGCGCTGCCACTTGCGCCGTGGGGTCATTCATGAACTGTCCGTATGCGCCGAATACGTTCCCACTCGTGCCACCTTGCTGTTGGTAGGGACTGCCACCGTAGCCTTGTTGCGATTGCGATTGCGACACGGGAGGAGGGGGCGAGCGCAACTGGGGAACCGTAGAGACATGCTGGGGTACGGGGTGGTGCAAGGGGGGCGACTGCCCGTAAGTTTGTGGACGCTGCATGATGTGCAAATGAACTCGTGGTTTCGTCTTCTGTTCGTGAATATCGTTCGATGGGGTTTGTCGGAAGATTGCGAAGCTATGTTGGATTCGACGGCGGCGTGGGTGTTGGGATGCCTCCCTTCCAGGTTCTCTGAGTCCACGTCGTCTTTGGCGGGCCGCGATGGAGCTGGTACGGAAAGGTGTTTACTTCCATAGATGTCCCACATTGTCCAGATGAGCAGGACAGATAGCCGTGGTCCAAAGGGGCTTAGCTCCGAGTTCTTTTTGGCCAGCTCAGCACGAGCCCTCTCGCGGGCCTTTATGAGCCGCTAGAGGGCCTGGTGCCGGCCGGCCACCAGCTGTCGATGGCTCGCATGGGCGTATATCGATCAACGACTCTCCTTTCTTACCTACCTTAGAGGTATCACTAATACCTTGATTAGCATCGCTTTTTAGGCTTCTCAAGGCATGTTCTTGTAAGGATGTACGGAAATTAGTATCATTCATAGGACATGTTTTCTTATTCGTGGTACGGAAGCCGTCTTAGAGAGTCTCATTTCACCAAGTATCGTATCTCCATGTTCACACCATTGAGCTAAATCTGCCGTTGGAGGGTCGATTGGGCATCTGTTTACAGGTGCAAAGAGAGGCTATGACGGGTTGATATAACGAGTCGATACAACGACTAGAGGCAAGACTCGCTGAGGAAGCAAAGACGCATACCTTAACTGGAGTTACCTTCAATTTTCATTGGTGTACTCCAAGGAAGCAACTCAACCATAGAATAGGAGCAAGCTCTCAATCCGTACTGTGTAGGCCGCCATCTCAACTATCAAAGATACAGTGCTCATACAGTGTGATCTTCCTACATCCCCAGAGCTTATCGATAAGAAAGGGTACCCCAAGGCCAAGGGTTCACCCACTCCAAGGGCCCAAAGGAGCGGCCAGCCCACTTCATTGACCACGGGTCTTGCGCCACAGGCCAGCTTTTGGGATCGAGGAAGTCGCCTCCAACTCAACTCTCTTTCCTCTTCCACTGGTCCCCGAGTCTCCACGATCTTTGCTGTCGCCGCAAATCACGAAGCCGGAATCCCACACACAATGTTGGACACGTTCGAGATTCTAACCACCTCAGGGGTGGTCCTCTGGTCCAGAACCTATGCGCCGGTCAACCCGTCCGTCATCAACAACTTCATTGCCGATGTCTTCATCGAGGAGAAGGGCGGCGCTGCCTCCAGCCAGTCCGCGGCCAGCAACCCCCCATACAAGCGCGACCAGCACACATTACGGTATACGTTTGTAAAGGAGCTAGGTGTCATCTTTGTGGTATGGAAACCCAACAACATCTGATGCGCCGCACCTTTCCAAGCCATGGTACTAACGAGGTTTGCGAACAGGCTGTTTACAGATCACTACTTCACCTGTCATGGATTGACAAGCTCGTCGACAACATCAAGACGATCTTTGTAGATCTGTACGGAGAGCAATTGACGAAGCCGCACACGACAGTGGTCGAATGTCATAAGTTCGACGAGTACTTTGACCAGCAGGTCAGAGAGCTGGAGACAACGGGAGCAAAGGGCGACTCCAACGTCTCAGAAGCCGACTTCGCAAAGGAGGAGAAGACACTGTCTGGAAACCTCGGCGATGACCCTCCCCTCCCTCCTGGTCTGCACTATAGGGGTAAGCCGAATGCGCCGTGAAGGTGTATCAGTGTGCAAGCAGCTAACAAACCCCCTCCCAGGTCGCGGTCTGAACAGCGCAAACGAAACCTCCAACGACTCGACCCCCATCGCGACGCCCACGACCTCTCGACCCTCGACTCCCGGCACCGGTGGCGTATTAGTAGGCAAGGCCGGCCCCGTCGCCAAGATGTCGCGACGCGCGCGCAAGGCAGGCAACTCTGCGCCCCTTTCTTCTGGCGACGAGTCCGCCGGCAGAAGACCCAAGCCCGCGACGAGATCATCAACGAAGAAGGGTCGCAAATGGGACGCAGATGGCATGGCCGACGAGGAGGACGACGTGGTTCTCGACTACTCGGCTGCTCCGAAGTCGGCGACGAGCGACTCGGAAGCCGAGACGACCGCCCGCTCCTCCGCCGTCGAGCACGTCGATCACACGACATGGGGATCCAAAACGTCAAAGGGTCAATTCGTGCTGAAGGACCTAGACGACGAGGTGCACAACATCCTCGCCTCGGCGCAGGCAAAGAACGACTCTTCCAACCAGACGGAGGCATCGGGCGGGCTTATCGGGTCCGGCCTGAGCACGATCGGAGGCCTCTTCCGCAATGTTGTCGGCGGCAAAACGCTCTCCAAGGCGGATCTCGACAAGGCGATGAAGGGTATGGAAGAGCACCTCCTAAAGAAGAACGTCGCGCGGGAAGCCGCGGTACGGCTCTGCGAGGGCGTCGAAAAGGAGCTCCTCGGCGCCAAGACGGCCAGCTTCGAGAGCATCAACGCAAAGATCCAAGCCGCCATGGAAGCCTCCCTCACAAAGATGCTCACCCCGACCTCCTCCCTCGACCTCCTCCGCGAGATCGACGCCATCACCGCCCCGCCCTCGACCTCCCTTCGCAAGGCCCGCCCCTACGTCATCTCCATCGTCGGCGTCAACGGCGTCGGCAAGTCCACCAACTTGTCCAAGATTTGCTTCTTCCTCCTGCAGAACAAGTACAAGGTCCTCATCGCCGCCGGCGACACCTTCCGCTCCGGCGCTGTCGAGCAGCTCGCCGTACACGTCCGCAACCTCAAGGAGCTTACCGTCCGTGAGGGCGGCCGCGTCGAGCTGTACCAAAAGGGCTACGGCAAGGACGCCGCCACCGTCGCTCGCGACGCCGTGGCTCACGCCGCGCAGGATGGCTTCGACGTCGTCCTCATCGACACCGCCGGCCGCAGACACAATGACCAGCGTCTCATGTCCTCCCTGGAGAAGTTTGCCAAGTTTGCTCAGCCCGATAAGATTCTCATGGTCGGCGAGGTAAGACTCACCCCCCCCCCCCCCTCTCCCTCTCACATCTATAGCCAAACAAAAAACTGACTCCCTCCCCCAAGGCCCTCGTCGGCACAGACTCGGTAGCCCAAGCCCGCAACTTCAACGCGGCCTTCGGCTCCGTCCGCACCCTCGACGGCTTCATCATTTCCAAGTGCGACACCGTCGGCAACATGGTCGGCACCCTCGTCAGTCTCGTCCACGCCACAAACGTCCCCGTGCTCTTTGTCGGCGTCGGTCAGCATTACTCTGACCTGCGCAACTTTTCCGTAAAGTGGGCGGTTGAGAAGCTCCTGAGCAGTTCGTAAGGTTTCGCTTTCTCTCTGCTTGGGGGTTGAAGAAGGCTACAGAGGGAGAGGGAATGGAAGTTGCCTCTTACTTGGGTGTATTCATGTATAAATCACCTTTTAATATGAAATGAGATGAAATGAAATCAAATTTAATCGGGGTTTCCATGGCGAGAACCAATGACACCCCGACAAAAATCAAGTGTTCTGATAGTCTCCATGCGATATGCCTACCTTAGTTATCTCCCAGGTCCCATGAAAACACATTTGTGCAGTCCATGGTTAGCCACGAGCATTTCGCCATACTGACCCTTGATCACGACAAGTCCCGGCAATAAAAATATTCCATTGATCAAGATTGATAAGCCAAATCAGGCGTGCGAATTATTACTATATACTTCTTCGGTGTGTAGTGTAATAGGTAAGTAAAGAGGGGTTGGGCTGCAGTAAACATAACCAGGCCAAGTAAGAGGTAGAAGCAAGCCAAGCCCATAGATAGACCCAGCAAGCCAACACGCCATACTTCAAGCCCTTCAACCCTCCCTTCTCCATTTCATCGTCATTTTCTTTCCCGCTATGCATCGGACCGAAAACAGAAAAAACAAAGGAAATTAAAATTTAGCCCTCTCATCCTCATTCCCCATTGGAGAGGAGATATTACCCCCTCCCTCGTGAGGTATGATTACAAGAAGGTAAAATCCACGATTCTGAGTGTTTGTATATGAAAATCCTCCTCCAATACCCTCAGTGGATTGTAATGTAGTAGAAGTAGTTTTGCGAAAAAGGGGGTATCATCATTCTAGTGTGTCCATTCTTTTGGGCTCAAAAGCATGCTGCGTGATAGAGACAGAGAGAGAGAAAGAGTGACTGCGGCGCGAAAGACAAAGGAAATCCTCCACGGTCCCACGTTTCCTTCCACTCATCACTGCTCCTTCTTAGTCTTCAAAGAAGTCAGTGTCGTCAAAGTCGCCCGGGTGAGCATCTGAGTCGTAGCCGCTTGACCGCATCATCGGAGGAGTCATGGGCTGTTGAGAACGGCTCGACGGACGGCGAGCGGGCGGGCTCTTGAGGGGCATCGGCTCGGATGGCACCTCCGTGATGGACGGTCCTCGGTTCCTGGCCTGTAGTTGCTGAGCCGTGTACCGACGTCCTGTGGTCTGGAACGCCGTTGGTTGAGGTTCCTCAGCGCGCGCAGCGTTCGAAGTAGGGGTCTGACGGAGACCAGAAGCCGGCGGGGTCATCAGTCCGTTGTGGTTGTTGCTGAAAGAGGCCGACGTGGTAGATCGGGACGGGGTGTGGTTGCTATTGACAGCAGGACGGGCCGTAGAGGGCCTACCGCTTCGTCCGCCCGATGCGAAGATGGGCTGTTGCGACTTGCGCCAGTTACCCCAGGCCGCAGCCAGGGGTCCCACAGCTTGAGCAACACGAGGCGATGCAGCCTCCCGAAGTGACTGTGCAATGTTGGGCAGATTGATTGCTGATCCGCCATTCATCGCACGCTCGCGTTCCTGTTCCTCCATTTGAAGGTTGGCCTTGAGACGGATGGACGCATCCTTGACGGCTTCCCTGTCAAAGTCTTCGGCAGAGACGGCAAGGATGATGTCTTGCAAATCGCCGTGTCTCACGGCAAGAAGCTCGCGCAACCAAGTGATCTCGTCGTCACGCTTAGCAATCTTGGTAGGAGCTTCGGGGTCCAGCTTGTCGACGGTAGACTCGAGCTCTTCGATGCGCTGCTCGCGTGCCTGCAACTGCTCTTGCAAGACCATGATGGACTCTCGCAACGCCTGGGGCGAGATCTTCTCTGGGAGGTCCATGGCCTTCGACACAACGGGTGCGGCAGGAGCCACGGCCTTGGGCTGGAAAGATGCGGTGGGGAGAGCGGTTGGCTCGACACCTGCGGACTTGGCAGCTTGAGCGGCAGCGCGAGCGGCTTCCTTGGCGATCTCGAGCTTCTCTTCCAAATGTGCGACACGGTCTTGGAGATGTTCTGTCTTGGACGTGGACAGGCTGAGACGCTCGAGGAGGTGCTGCTCAGTCTTCTGGCCATCTTCGACGGCGTTGCTCAGCTGGCGCTCCCAGCGGGTCTGGAAGTCTTCGAGCTCGTTCTGGTGCTTGCGCTTGAGTTCCTCAATGGCATCGGTCTTGCTGGTCTGAGCCTCCTCCATCATCATCTCAGATTGAGCTTTGGCAGTCTCGACGTCCATGTTGGCCTGATCAACTTCTGCTCTGAGCTTAGCGACCTGCTCCTCGAGTTCTTCACGAACAGCATTGACGTGGTGGTTGGCTTCGTCAATCTCGCGCTGCATAGAAACGCGCGTTCGCTGAACCTCGGCAATGCCAGACTCTCGTGCCTCCTTGAACTCGCTCTGGTATCGCATGGCAGACTGGTGAAGCTTGTGGTTCTCGGTTTTCATCTCGCCAAGCAGACCCTCGAGACGCTTGCACTCATTAACGGCACGCATGCCTTGGCGTTCGCCGTTCTCGAGTCTCTCCATTTCGGCTTCAATCCGTTCGCGCGTACGGGCCTCGGCTTGGAGCTTAGCATCCAAGACCTCTTGACGGGCGACGAGTTGCTGCTCCCGCTTGGTGCGACGAGCATTCTCCTCGGTGATGTCGCGGGCAGCCTTGGCCATGTCTTCCTGGAGGGAGACAAACTTGGCACGCCAGCTTTCCCTGACGCGCTCATTCTCCTGAAGCTGAGTTCCAAGGGTGTCAATGAACTTCTGCATGGCCTTGTTCTCTTGGAGTGTCTCGGTGAGATCGATCTGTTGTCTGCGGGCAGTCTCAACCACGCGCTCTGTCTCGGATCTCCAGCGGTTAGCCTCGTGGGTGGCGCCTCGGACCTCGTCCTCCATAGCGTTGATCTTGTTGGTAAGTTCAGTCTGCGCCTGAGTAGCGTTGGTTTGGGAGGCCTCCATGAGTGCCATGCGCATTGTTTGCTTAGAAGCGGCCTGTTCAAAGGCCTTGAGCTTGTGGTCCCGCTCCTCGACTTCCTCACGGAGACGGACCTCCTCTTCGCTGGCAATACGGAGCAGACGCTGAACCTCAGAGAGTCTATCTTCGGCGGTTCGGCGACCGTCGAGCTCTGCTTGAGTGCGCTCTTCCTGGTGTCGGAGCTTATCCTCCAGGTCGCTAACGCGATGGTCGAAAATGCTCTTGTTCATGATCTCGACTTCAACGCGAGTTTCGGCGGACTGAAGCTTTCTGTCGAGCTCTGCCGCGAGATCTTCGGCGGCGCGGCGGTCGGTAACCTCCTTCTCAGTCTTGCTACGCTCAACATAAAGGCGCTCTTCGAGATCCATGACCTTGGCTTGAAGCTCACTCAACTTGTTGTTGACGGCCTCGTCATGATCACGATCGGCTGTCGGCTGTTGAGACGGGGTTGGCATGCGCTTCTCGACAGCTTCCTCGACAATGTTTCGCAGATCCTCGCCACGGAAATCAAGGCGCATTGAAGCGCCAAACTGCTCTCTCATCTCCTCCAAAGCCTTTAGAACAGCAGTGCTGGAGGGCTCATCGGCAGCGGGGGCTGAAATTTGAGGCACGAAAGAGGCACCACGCTGCTGAACAGCAAAAGCATCGAGTACAGCAGCACGGATTTGTTCCATCCGCTTGTCGCGGCGCGGACTAAGCGAGCGACGAGGCACGGGCTCTTCATCCTCATCATCAGCGTCGCTGTGTTGTATATCGGCAGAGACGCTGCGGCGGACGGAAGACGAAGCTCTTCTGTCGCCCCGGAGAGACTGCTTGATGGACAGTAGAGTCTTCTCAAGAGGACCCAAGCGAGCGGAGAGCAGATCGCCGACGGCTTCGTTGACGCGACCGTCGAAGAACTGAACACGCTGCTCCAACTTGGCTTGTTCTTCGTCGCTGAATGCACCTTCCCAGTCGCTCTGTGCAGCACTCTCTTGGCCAACCAGGTGGGTAATCGGAGCATCGAATGACTGTGCACTCAGTGGAGGATCGACGAAAGGATCTTCCAACTCCGTAGTCGGCATGGCCGAGTTGTCGGTGGGGAGTCCATGGTATTGGCGCATAGGGCTGGAGGTTCTGCTGCGGTATTGGCTGCCGGCCTGCATCTTGTACGGCGACAAGTTGGTAACACCAGCGACCTGGATCTGCCTGTTGGGGCTGGGCTGGTGCCATCTGGCGGCCTCATCATTGGCCTTGTTGACACCAAAAGTCGGGTCATTCTGGTTGAGGTGGTTCATGATATCATCAATCTCCTCGAAAGTTGGCTCATGTTGCTCGTTACTGGCATCAATCGCGGACTTTGACGGGAAGGTGAACTCGTGGGCGTTGGGCTCATCAAGATACTCTTCTCCCTCAGAAACAACATACTCCTCGGGGATCTCTCCCTCTTCCAGAGAGTCTTCGTAAACCTCCTCTCCAGCATTCCGCGCAGGCGATGGAGACGCGGCAAACCGAGACGCAGACAGACCCTTAGTCTTAGGCGGGCTTGCGAAGCGAGAAGCGCCCAGTCCCTTAGGTGCGGCGAACTTGGGAGGTGTCGGGACCCGAGGAGACGGCTCGCGAGGTGGCGAGACCGGGGCTGGTGCCTCGGTGCTAGGCAGGATTGGCTCAACGGTGTCTTCTCTGTCACGCTCGTCCTCTTCGTCCTCATCGGTTTCGGTTGCCGGAGTAGGCGCCCAGCCGCCGCCAGGGATGAAAGCTCTCGCAGTAGCAGAGAGCGACTTGTTGTGGCCCTTCTTGTACGTGTCAATGCCAAAAGGCCGGGCTTCAGCAAAGCTTTGAACATCGTTGTTTGAGTCGAATTCGAAGGGTGCCCAGTTCAGGTGCTGCTGGTCAGGCGAAGTATCCGAGGGGCTAGTAGCCGTAACAGCCTTGGAGTCGGCGGGGTGCTCGGAAGCAACGGTGGAAGACATGGTAGTGTCGGCGGGCGTGTAAGCTTGCTCGTCAGAGGCATCCTGCTCCTCTTTCCTGGGCTGGAGTGACTGCAAGGTCGTGGGTTCGGGCGATGGCTCAGCGAACAGAGGAACATCGTCCTCATCTCCTCTTGACGCCTTTGCCCTCTTGAAGCGAGATTCGTCAATCAAGCGACCATCTGCATCATCCGGAAGATCGTCTTGAGATTCATCATGGTTGTTATCGCTGCTGCTGGGGCGGATAATTGGGACGGCCTTTGACTTCTTGGGAGGCTTGACAATGTCAGAAAGGTTCAGATCAATGTTGCCGAAAATCGAGCTAGTGCGGTTCCCAGCGCTCTCGCTGCCCGACACAGGGCTGGTGACAGAATCCGAAACATTTCCGAAGGGTGTGAAGGCGGGTGCATCCGGTCGAAACTTGGGACCAGAGGCAGAAAAGCTAAAGTCGCTCTGACCAGGCGAGAAGACAGGGGCGGCCGCATTAATCTTGGACGACATGGACCCTGCACCAAACGAGCCCGCTGACGGGGAAGTGACTGACGGAGCGAATGATCCACCACCAGCCTGGAAGACTGAGGGCTGGAAGCTGTTGCTACCAGCACCAAAAGTGAAGCTCGTCTTTGACTCGTGTCCTGGGTTAAACTTGAACTCGGGTGCCTTGACGTTGAGCTTGGATAGCGAGGGCTTGCTGGCATGGCTGGGTCTCCTCGGCATGCCAGAGTTGCTTGACATTGACGAAACATCGTTCCAAGGATTGCTCGTTGTCGAGAACGATCGCTGGTGCTGCTGCAAGAGAGTCGTGAGGCTGAAATCTTGTACGGGTGTGCCAAGATTGCTAGGGTTGGTCTCGATCTCCGCCGCCTCATCGATCCGCTGTGCGTCAACCTCGTGCCATCCGGCCAAACTGTCGCCGCGGGGTCGGGTCTCGTCATGGTGAGAGAAGAAGTTCTGGGACAAAGAGTGGCCACGGCTGTGAGGGCGCGGGTGGTGAAGGACAGGGCCATCGCCGCCTTGAGGACCGAACTGCTTGGGAAGCTGCTGGGGCGCCTGGAACTGGACCGATGCTTCTCTGGCATGCGCAAGAGGCTGCTGTTGCGAGAAATTGGCCAGCTGCTCAGCCGCAGCTTCCTCGTTATGGGGGCTGTAGTCCTCGTGCTCCAACTCGTTGCGCATCTGCTCCTCGAGGTGGTACTCGGCCTCGTCAATCTCTGCCTGGAGGTCATCGTCGTTGATTTGTGCAGGCTCTGCGGGCTTCATGGACGTCTCTTCGTGTGCCTCCTCCTCTTCCTCTTCGTCTTCTCGCACCTCTTGCAGACGAGGTGATGCGCGCGCGGGTTGCTGCTGATGCTGCATGAACTGCTGATGAGGCATCATGGGGTACTGCAAAGATTGGTGACGCTGGTGCGCATTGAAAGCAGGGCTGCCAGTCGGCGCAAATCCTTCGGGCATAAAGGGGGAGACTGGAGAGAGGATTCCGTTCAGCAGATTAGGCGACTCTGTTCTATGCGGACCTGGCCAGCCTAGAGGCGATGGTTGACCTGGCATCTGGAAAGGCGAGTGGCCCATGGGAACCGAAATTGACTGTCGATTATTGTACTTGGCAGGGTGACTGCCGAAGCCAATGGGCGAAGCCATGCTCGGGCTGTGACTGTGGCCTGCAGAAGAACGCCCACCGGGTATGAACTGTGGGGGGAACGGATAGCCTTGCACATGGTTGCTCGACGCTGATGATGTAGGCAATGGTGGAGAGAATGGTAAAGGCGGATATTGCGCAGAGGCCTGTCGGCTGGGCTGTGATACTGCAGGCGATATTGAAGGTGCCGGGGGATCGTCGTCGCCGAATGACACTCCAAGAGCTCGCAACTTGGCTTCGTTAAGCTCATTGACATAGTCTCTCCAAGCTGCATAACAGTTAGCATTCCTGTTGCCTTCCCTCTGCGCGATGTAGACTTACCATTCAAATCAGGCAATGTGACTTTGTATGTATGTTGCGCACGCTCTCGAACAAGGTCCTCGGGGCTAGGCCAAGCGTCTCGACTCTGTGAGTATCCAGTAGGGACCTGGTACGTGCCCTCTGCAAGATCTAAATCGAAGCCACTGATATCGTATCCAAGCTCTTCCCACGATCTAAACATGCCCTCGATTTCGTTCTGGTTCAACGGCTTGGGCGCATGGCCAGGGCGTCCGCGTTCCTCGTCTTTGGGAAGAAGAACCATAATATTCTTGCCCTTCCACGGGATCTTCTTCTTCACCCGAGGCGTCATGCTGGGCTCTTTGATTGTCACTCTGGCCGATGCACTCCTCATTGGTGTAGTTGGCGTCCTCGCCGTGTTGCCGACAGCGGCACTAGCGCTCCGTCTGGGGGTTGTGGGAATTGGTGGGAGCTCTGGCAGGTCGCGGGCCAAGTCAGCCTTGGAGAGATCTGGACTCTCCATCTTCGCGTTGGTTGTCTCGTCTCGAGGCTTCACGTCTTCTTGCTTGAGGGTCTCAACGCTGGATCGGGTTCGAGGATAGCGAGGTTCCGTGAGCGATGCGCGCGTTAGGCGTGGTCGGGCTCTAGGGGTTCGCAGAGATTCCTTATCGTGCCAAACAGCTTCGTCGCCAGATCCTGAGCCGCTCAGTGAAGAGTGCTCGCTTCCGTCGCTGAACCAATGTCGGCCCTCAGTATGATCACCCGCCGTGTGCTGGCGAATCCAATCTTCAGTCAATCGTCGCGCAGGTCTCCGAGCGCGATTAGCGAGAACTTGAGCTGCGCTGAGGTAGGGCTCGTGCGATTCGTCCTGTCCGAGCGAAAGCGCTGGTGGAGGTCGAAGAAAGGGAGTGCTGATAGCAATGTGATGGATAGGCGAGCCTTCGGATTGATCGCTGCCAATGCTTTCGCGGCGAATGAGGTTCGTCTCTTCAGTTGAGTAGGGCGAGCCCCAGCTGGCTGTCACGTATCTCTCGTCTTCTTCGGGATTGGATTGGTTTTGACTTCTGAGAATTTCCCGAGCTCGGTCGGGGAGTCTGGGCGCGGGTAGCGAAGGCAAAATTGGGGAGGACCCAAGGTCCTCGCCGTCGGCAGCTGTGGACGTCGATGAGAGGGCGGGAGACGTTGGCGGCGAATTGAAGGATGAACGATTAGGTCCTGTGCCGTCCTGTGCGGATGCAGCAGGAGGAGAATGGGATTGCTGGGAAGAAGACGTCTTCGTGGGACTCTGTTTCAATCAGGAATGGGCCCAAGAAAAGACGTGGCGTGGTGAGTGGACGTTCAAGGTATCCGTACCACGCCGGGAATGTAAAGTAAGGTTAGGTGAGGATGCGGTGAGGTGTAGCTTACCACGGTGAGATCAGCGCAGACGATGGGAATCGTCTGCAGCCAAGTCTCTGTGTATTCGCGTCGAGGACCCTTTCTTCAACAGCCCTCAAAAATCGGCATGCACACACAACGAAGCAGGCCGCGAGAGAAAAAACGAAGGGAACGGACGGGCGCTGTCGAGGTTGTTGACAGGAATAAGGGGGTGGAGGAGAGGCGGCCCGTGTGATTGGGGATGGATGAGTGTGTATATTTGGGGCCGATGGGTGGTTTTTTTGGTCGCGACGCGTATCCGCAGGTAGCCCAGGTATTTTTTGTTAGGCGGACAGGGAAGGGGACCTGGACACAAAAAAAGGATAGCCAGCAGAAATAAGGTATTATTTTGCAGGTAGTGACCCAGTGCAGGGATTAGAGGGACGGGGGGGCCGTTGCAGAAAGGAACTGAGAGAGGGAAATTATTGACTAAGGAGCGACATGAGAAGAGAAGGCAGACAGTGGCAGCACGCGGGTACCGGACGCATCGGGTTACAGGTTGAGCTACACGTATGATGGCGATTCCGTCGATATAGCACGATGCTGCCGGCTTTGGTGGAGAGACAGATGAGAGGAGAGGATGGAAATGTCGATAAGGTACGTGTTGTGTCAGGAGCAAGGTGGTAAGTCAGTGAGGACTGGACGGGATGGCGAGGTTAAAGGCAACCCGGAAGGATACATGGGAAGCTAAGGTAAGAGTTATTGCCTAGTTTTCTTTCCAAATTTCTCGTTAGAGATGGTGCCGGCCGGTTAGGTAGGTGGTCAAGACTTAGGTTAAGTGTACTCTCCGGACGGTTCATTGGAAGGCCAAGAAAATGAAGGGACTCGATGTACATGCACAAGATTGGGAACGCGGTTTTGACAGGAATGGCAAGGTACAGGTACGCGCACGGGAAGGAGCAGGTACAGCAGAGCTAAGGCACGACCGCCAGCCGAAGACAGCTCACAAAATGCTGCCTTAGTCTCGCTACATAACTCAGTACCTACACAGTACATAGCCGTACCTTACCTTTAGGAGTACTGCCTAGGTATTTAGGCAACTTGGCAGACTTTCTTGGTTCTGTTACCTAAACGTTCGACACATTTGTTGAACAGACACCGTCAGGTCCCTCAATACAGTGACAACCACGACAGTATAGTTCATCTGCACCGGCACGAATTCGTGGAGACTCGAGAAGACAGAGGAAGGGATACCTCCGCCTCAGGCTTTCGGGTTCGAGTAAACGTGGGGACCTTGGTTCGGTGGTCCGTCACCAGTGGCACGATGGGATTGGCCGGCTTCAACTGGGCACTCCACGAAAGACAGCTGGCATTTTCTGCCTCTGACTTTCAACTTTGGGGCCCTTCTTTTCCACTGATCCAGCCAACTTGCGAGCACATGAACGAATGTCATTGGGAAAACGGGGCAGACAAGAGTGACAAGCTTGGAAGAGATGGGGCCTCCCCTGCCCGCTTTCCAATGAGATGGACCGGGGGAGTGCGAGTCGCCAGGGACAGGCTGTCCAATCCACACGATTCCACTCACCACGCACGGGGCGAAGAGGGACGACGACGGCACGATGGGCCACTCAGCGGCCCAGCTTTGTTTTAATGAGAGTCCACGGGACCGAGCTATGACCAGCCCAATCTCGCCTTGTTTGGCTGATACTCCAATACATCCAACACCCCATGATTGTACACTAGAAGGAATGTACTCTATTATCATCGACCAATTACCCCCGGAAATCGCCTCCCCTACTACTGCATCGCATCTGGAGCTATGGGTGATTTCCCGCCGGATGAGAGGCCCCGCTGCTTGGATTCCTAGACGACATCGTATTTGCCAATGGCTCGAATGTCCGGCCCGTCACGCTCGTGCTCAGATTGCCAGATTGCTTACATTATGTCTGTCTACATTGAAAGGACAATTCTGTTCGGCTGCAAGCAGCTTCCTGGATCCAAAGGAACACTGTTTTTACATAGCTACCGTTACTACATTCAGCGTCAAAGTTGGCGTTGGCATACTTATTACTTCGTCAAAGAACGCCATGCCGCCAATATCCAATATCGCAGACTCGAACTTCTAGAATAAACGTGGAAGGTATAACAAGCCATATTATGATTCCTTGTCCTATCTAGTAGTAGCGTCCACTAACTCAACAGCTTAACATCAAAGTACCACCAAAGTAAACCTGCATGACGGGAGCCCCAACTTGTCAAATTACTGCTGTCATCCGTCCGTCCATCCCCCATAATCCCCCTGAATGCACGTTTTTCTCCCACGACACTACTGCAGTTTCGGTCCAAACTCGAAAATATGCAGGTACAGATCTCCAGACCTTCATCGGAGCTGAGTGTCGTCGATTCGTCTCGTCTCATCCTCGGTTTCTATCCCTTCCTACTAGATTATCCGTGAGAAGCTCTCCTGCATGTCATCAGGTGGCAGGTAAAGGTCTGCATAGTCTAATGAGCCTAGTTTTGCCTCAACCTCTTGCACTCTCCCCCTTAGCCAGGCACAGGAAAATCGCCTTTTCGATTGTGAGGTTACGATTCATTGACCCAAGACAATACTCCATATTGTCTTGCTCCCTTGGAAGCCGGCCACAAAACGCGAAAACCGAAAAAAAAAAAAAAAAAAAAAAAAAAGGCTCGGGGCAAAACCAAAGGCAGGTTGGTAAATTCCCCGGAACAGCGTTGAACCTGGGGGACGTGTTTAATTAGACGAACGGATCTTAGTGCCCATGTGGTTTATTTCGAGAAAGAGAGCCCCTGTCGGCCGTCGGGTCGGAATCTCACTTGTTCCTACAGCTGCTACCTTTTTAGGAGAAGAATTCGATCGAAACGACTTTTCCTCGTTCTTTTGAATAATCTCCATATTTGAGAAACTACGTATAGGTTGGGGGAGGGGGGTTTGGGTTTACTAGGAGTTGGGACGCCAAGAAAGAAGTGAATCCTACCTACAGCCTATGTTGATGTTACCAGGAAGAGGCACCACTTCCTAGTCATTATCAAAAGGCAGGTATGGCTTGGAAACAGCTGCATCCAAAACTATTTTTCTTTTGATTATTTGCTATCAAAAGTGAAGGCATTCCGAGACATCATAATCACGATCACATCTCGCAACAAACGATTCTGGATTGTCGCTTCTCAATATCATCCTAGGATGTTTAGCACCATTGAAATTTCGTCATGATTTATTATTCATGGAATAAGAAGAAGAATAACCTCCACAACCTCATCAACAGCCGAGCGTCATGCCCGCCGTACATCATCCTCGATCTTTGCTTCGAGGAACCTATAACACCAAACTAATCTTTAACATGTACAGCTCAAAATCCCCATCAACACCTCTGCCACCCCCTTTGGCTTGCTGTCCTCACTCCCTAATTCGCTCGTTCCTTTTACCCATCTCTCAGTATACACATGCCGACGTAACTCCATTCACATAGCCTCTTAAGACAGCAATACCATCGTCACCGCCCCCGCCGACAACCAACATGTCGCTCGACCATCTCAGACGAGACTCTCAAGGATCACAAAAGATGTCAAAATCTCCCACCGTACCCGAAAACACGGGGTCGCTAAAGCTCTGCTTTGTGATTGTGTCGATTGTATTTTTGCATTGCTCTGCCGCCTGGTGTTAGTATCGTGGTCCTCACGTGTGAAGGGACCTTCAACTCCAAGAGAGTAACATAAACTCACCAGCTTGCTCGTCACACTTGGTCACCTCAAACTTTTGCGGCCCGTTGTTGGCTGCTTGTGAGCACTTGTTCTTCTGGTTGTCGCAAGATCGGCCCGCGGCGGTGTTGAAGTCGGGCTATAACCGAGCACGCATTAGCACGCTTGCTTCTCATAGCAAACGCACTCCCTTTTCCCCCTCTGTCTCCGGTAGAGAACGTCGGGGATCACGCGGAAGAAACTCACAAAAGTATCACCGTCGACCTCGAACGGTCTACTAGGGTCATTTGACTTGGTAATCTGTAGCCAAGCCACAATAGTCAGCATACAACGTTCCGTCCTACGATTCCCTCATCCTACTCCTGAAACAGCGCCACCCATTGAACGCCACACCGAACCTCTCCCCGGAGCTAAGTGTTTGCGCCCCCCTTGAGGATCTCGATTCTCGCTCGAGTGTTGAGGAGAAGAGCATCCCGAGAGATAGAGATGTAATCACATACCGCTGACGCTTGTACACCGCCCAAATTCCCCTCGAAAGTCTGCAGGTTCTGTGTCGTCTGCCGCGGCAGTAGGCCATACTTCCATCCCATGCGCATCTCGTCGCCGAGGTCCATCGCCAGCACACCCGCCGCCACCACGGCGGCCCCCGATAGGACGTTGAAGAGAGTTGACGTTCTCATTGCTTTCTCTCTAATCTTTGTCATGGACCGACAGTGGTTTGGCGTTTCTCGCTCGCTTTTGTGATGTCCTTTCGGATGTGATTATCGGGTTTGCTCTCCTTCGGATTGATTAATTGATCTCGTTGGTTGCTTTCGTCGAGTATCGTTGCTCTGTAATTGTGATCGTAACCCAATTGGTATCTCTCCCTCTCGTGTCGTAGATAAAGTCTCCTAGCCCCGTCCTTTCACCAGCTCGTCGGATTGAAGTATTAGAAATATGTCGTTGTAATGGTAACTCCGAGGCTCAACCTCGTCGAATCGTAGTATATAGCGTCGTCAACGAAGCGCAGTAGGAGTTGTAGTGTGGATTGGCGACGCGCAGCGCTCGAACGTAGAAAATCGTAACACCGAAAAGACGTTGGAGGAGTAGAAAAGTAAAAAGGAACAACCCAACGTCCGTTCCTTAAACCTTAGCAGCACTTTTTTCCGATTAACAAGCGCCCGCGGCTGCGCTGCGACACACGGCACGGGAGGGGGAAAGTAGGTATTGGAACTGGGGCCTTGCAGCAAGCAGCAAAGGGAACCTGAAACGCGGAAAGAGATCCAACCACGGCTGCCCACAAAAAGCTGGGATGCAACACCACCGCAACACCACCACAAAGCACACCCGAAACACCACTGAGACGGGGAAATCATATTACGGATGGCCTAGCTTTGCTGTGTCCACGTGATATTGCCCAGACGGGACGGCAACCGAAAAGGACGATCATGCTGGCTTGGAGACATGGAGTTCATCAGATGGCAGTTGGCCCCCTCAGATGACGGCCGATCATATCGGGAAAGATAGAATGGAATAGAGTTCAGAGGGAGGAGGGGCTGCAATCAGTCGGTTGAACTCAGTTCTCTCCCTCAACCCCCGGCCACTTCAGCCAACAGGCTTCACTTGCGTCATTTTTGCATGTGGTATGTGCTTCTTCTTTGCCTTTCAATGTTTGTTTGAATTGTTTGAAAGTTGGTGGTCCTGATATTAAAGTTGTATCTTAACGTACGTACAAGCCGACGGGCCTAGAAGGCTGCCCATCAGACTTGCTTGTTGCGGTCTCTGCCATGTGTCTTTGCTGGTATCGATGCCCTGTCCTGATGCGCGACTCGTTTGAAGCCCCACACTAGTCCAGTGAAGTGATCATCCTAAGCCCAGCCGACAAAGAAGAGTAATTTTCAGCCTTCTATGTACATAATTCCATCCATTAGTCCGGAGACCTTGCGATATGCAACCATGCCTGCCATGATGATCTGGCGGCCCTAAACTCCGCATGACTGGTGGAAAGGCCAGCGTAACAAATGAGTAAAAAGAGAAATCAAGGAGTGTGGTATCCGTGTGGAAAGGACTGGGGAATCAACGCTTTCTGTCGCAAGAAACAATCATTGGAAGTCGCAACAACAAACATCTTTAAAAGTTGGACGATGCATTGACTTGTTGGTTCGGCGCGTGGTAGCTTTCGAGAGTCGACTGGAAGGGAGTACGGCCGGAACCAGATCCCTGGGCACTCCCGATCTCGTTCTTGGGCTCGTTGCCGTACTGGTTGTTGTACTCCATGAGGCCATCGTTCTCCTCAGCCTGCTTCTTCTTGCCCCAAATTCTCCAGGCAACAAAGCCCAGGGCACCGAGAACAATGGCACCGCCGACACCAACAACGACACCAATGACAGTCTTGCGAGTCTCGGACGACATGCCAGAGGATGAGTCTCCAGAGTTTGCCTCATTAAGACCGGGCGTGCTCGTGACGGTGGCCTCAGAGGTGAAGGAAGTTGCGACACCAGCGGAGTTGGTGGTGGTGATGACGGTCTTGATGGTGGAGGTAACGGGCTCGGCAGTGGTGGAGTGGGTGGAAGAAGCGGCACTTGCGCTGGTGGTCCCGTCGTTGTTGCTGCCAGCAGATGTGGTGCTGGTCTTCAGGGTTGTAGGAGCAGCCGTGGCTCCTGGTGTTGTGCTTGATGCAGGCGCATTGGCGGATGTGGTCGGGTCGGCAGCGGGAGATGTGGTAGTGACAACGGCGACGGTGGTGCTGGTGACCGGAGCAGCAGTCGTTGTTGTAGTTACGGCAGCAGCAGATGTGGTGGTTTGAGCAGCGGCAGTCGATGTGGTCTCGGCACCGCTGGCTGTTCCTGATTGTCTCTTAAGGAGGCCATCGCGGGGCTCGGCTTTGTTGAAGTTGAACCATGACGCCTGAGCGACCGAGGCGAGGGCGAGGACCTGAACGGCGCGTTGGGGATGCATCGTGACTGTGGTGGATGACGAGATTCACGGTAGGTGGTGCTTCAAGAATGGATATATCAAGTCAGCCGACTGTAGAAATAATTCTCTCGGTCGGTCAGATAAATTGAAGATCGTTCGTTTGTGTGCCGACAACCAAATTCTTTGGTGGTGGTGTCAAAGACACAGGGTTCTGAGATGAGTCGAGTCGGTTCGTCTGGAATTCTCGGAAAGTTCTTACGTGCCGGGTGGGTACGAAAATAGGAGGGCGGCACGGGTCAGGGTGGGAGGACGGAAGCGACCGGTAAGTTGACAAAAGGTAAAAGGCGATTTTGTGTTGGTTGTGACGCGGAAATCACTCGGAGTAAAACGAGAGGAATGAATCAAAGGTGACGATAGGGAAAAGCGAGTGAATGGTTTTTATGAAGTGAGGGATGAGTTGGGATAGGTTTTGAGGTGGGTGGTCGTTGGAGTGGAACGAGCGGGAGGTCAGAAAAACAAGACTCGTATTCGAGCTGGAGCGGCGTAAGAGGGTGGTCAGTGTGAAAAGGCAGGTGCGGTTGCCAAGTGGGCAGTCACTGGTGGGTTACTGTGTACGCAGTAGAGCGCTGGGGACAGGTCCACGGGTCCAGGCAGGTACCAGGGATGCAGGGCCGGGCCACTTCTTCTTTCCTCCGTCGCACTGTCCGTGACCCGTGTGGTGGCTGTTCTTGGCTTCTTCCTGGGCCAACAAGCGTCAGAAAAGGGAACCTCAAGTCTCCAAGCAGAAAACTGCCCAGCAACGTTGCGCAGGGGGGGACAGAACTTAGAGGTAGGAGGTCGAGCCGGTAGCGACCGGGGTGAGTGGCTGTGGATGCTTGCCAGATTCTGGTGCAAGGGACAACGTGGTGGCGGTCTGACGGCCTAAGACATCAGGTTACCCATCTCAGATTTGCCCGCTTCTCGCACGATGAGAACTTTTGATTGGCCAGACGGCTTGAACCCTGGGCCCGACACGGGGCACTGTGGCACACGACGATCAATGCTAAAAGGTACGTACACAGTACGTCTCTCTCGTTTCCTTCGTCTCTCGGCGAATCAGAAATGGCTTCACCCTCAGACCCTTCGTTGCCCTCCTGAAGTCTCCCTCACCCTCACGGCCTCACCTCTCGAAATTTACACGGCTCAGCCTCCAGCTCACTGCTCACGACCCTTTGCTCAAACGCTCAGTCAAATCGTCTATTCGCCGCCTCCAACAGTCCACGACATAACCGAGGATACCGCCGAGCCTCTTAGGTCAGTGGGAGTTGTTGGATCACCCCAAGGAAGCAGCCCAGCTGTCAGCAGTCTTTAGCGGCCGAATGGTTGGTGCCCATGAAAAACGGCTTGAACGGCCCCTTCTAGCCCGTCAGATGGCTCCAGACTTGAGAGACTGGTCCAGCCCGCTGCGACCGCTGACTCTGCCGCATTCCTTGTAGCCGTTGGCGCCGACTGAGGTGTTTGCCATCAGGAGCTTTTCTCTGCAAGCCGCAAGCCCCAAACGTTTGAATGCAGCAAACCGATTTTGCATGGCGCGCTTTTCCTTTCATCAGCAGACAATGAACATCCCAAAAATAACCATGGTCTGTCTGTCTATTGTTCAACAAAAACTTCTGTCGACAGCAAAGAACCGTTGACTACACCACTGACATAATGCAGGACACCATGAACTGCCGTTGCAGTCGCAGACAACCATGACGATGACGATGGGATAGGCATCAGGCTTTGTGCTAGTCTGTCTAATCCAGGATGGAAAGGAGCGACAATCATATGGCATGTGCCGTTGGGTCAAACCCTTCATAGATGCTTAAAACCAAGCATCAGCAAAAGCAAGGCATACAAACGCACACATGGATTGCCAGCCGGCACCAATGGAACGATGGCACAAAAAAAAATACCAGGGCAATATTGAAGCAATGAAGCCACTGGTTGTCCCCATCCACGGCAATGCAACATGCCTGCCCAGGGCCGATCTTGTCTCTATTTTCAGCATCGACCCGTCGCTCTTTGCTCCAACCGCCTCCGCTTCTGCCAGCCTGGCGTGCCAAACCCGGCCAATTCTCCTTCAGGGTCTTCCAAGCACGTCTCCACCGTCCCCCGGGCCCCTCCCAGCATTCGTCATTCTTCCCGGCCCCGTCCAAGAATCCGGATTCCACAACTTTTTCCAGAACTCGGCATTCGTCGTCGCACCACGCATGCCCTACCGTACGCAGTATGCTAATATGGATGCCGACAACAACCCTAGAGTATGTGAGGGGTCAATGGGGAAGGGGTCAAGAATTTCTCGGACGATGGGCATCGCCTCACTGGGCCATAAGATTTGCCTTCCGCGGCGGCCGACGTCACTTCCGCGCTCGAGGGTCTTCGCAATTCACCGAGGGCCCCTGCAACAACAATCAACAGGACTACTGTTACAGTACGGCCTGCAGGATGACGATGTTAAGAATACCGTTCAGACTGCGCCCGAAGCATCTCGAACTGTCAGCGACAGCTCTGCTTCAGCCCTTTTGTTGGCATGCAGCTGATGCCCCGTCATGCGTCATTTTCCCACCCAATGGCCAACCTCCAGATGAACCACCCAGCTAGCAGCTGTTTGAAGGAAGCTGAGAACTCAACGAGTGCGTTTCGCCTAGCTTATACAGTTCAGGGTACCCTTTATTCGAAGCTCTGTTTCCTAGCGCCCTTGTCATGGGTTCCCCTTCTTCCCACATCCCGGCACAGTGTCTACGCTCCGTCCATGGAGGAGACTGGAGACCCTTGCGTACGGATACAGAGCACAAGAGGCAACCGATGGTAGAACGATAATCCGTCCGCAGCAAGCATCATTTCGGATCCAGGTCTGCCCTTCCGCGGATCTCGGCGTCGGAGGACCCGCCTACTCACGGACACCCGCATAGTGCAACGGTGATGTGAAGCATTGCATTCCAGCTTACAGCCTCCCGGTGTCAACCCACGCATTGAACCCTTAATCGTACACTAGAAGTGTGCGTCGCCTCTCGATACAGTGATACGATTAACCAACCATACAGCGGTGAATATCTGGAGACGAGATTGCTTTATTTACCAAAGTCCCTTTGCGTGTCTCTCCTTGAACTTTTTGCATGTTTCAGCGGGGAGTTTATAATAGTCGAGCTGCCTATGACAGCTAGCTTAGGATCTCGCCCGCAGGTGAATACATCATCAGACGGTAATCATTTAGGTGTTTCATTTTGCAGTCTACTTTAGCACTCTTTGTTGACTTTGCTATATTACTGACGAGTCTCGCAACCCGAAAACATTACCTGAGCCAGAACTCGCTTGTATTATCAAAAGACCTTGCAACGCCGCAAAAATGTGTAGCAGACAGGGCGATGGACCATTTACAATACACACGTCATTGCTGTTCAATCCAAGGAAAAAGACCTTTGACAAGAATATTTCGATTGTCATCGATCCAACGAACGGCGCCATTGCAGATGTGTATGACCGGCAGCGATCCAAACATGTCGAGTTGACAAGTCATGATATAGATCTGCGAGGGAAGGTTGTGATGCCAGGATTTGTCGACGCGCATACACACGTGTTTCTTCATCCATACGAGTGAGCCTCATCATCGTGGCACAAGGTCCTTGATTCATCTAACCTTGGCTAGTGAGGCTTCATCGACGGTCCAGATGCGCGACGAAAGTGTCGTCGAGAGAATCGTTCGTGCTACAAATCATCTCCGTGTTGCCCTTCTGTCCGGTTACACCACATACAGAGATTTGGGCACCGAAGGGCTGCGCTCATACGACGCAAACCTGAGAGACTGTGTTAACCGAGGTCTGGTACCCGGCCCGCGACTCTTCGTGGCCACCGAGTGTCTCGCCAGCACTGGGTCCTACCAGGTCCGTCACGAGAACTCGTGGGCGAAACTACCGCGCATTTCGGACCCGTGCGACGGTCAGGTAGGCGTGACACAGGCTGTCCGGCGTCGTGCGGCCGATGGGGCGGACATCATCAAGTTCTACGCGGACTATCGGCGCAAGGTGATGCGATTCCCAAATTCAAAGGAACCAATCCCGTTTCTTCCCTCGGAGCCCAACCCGACTGTGGTGATGTTTAATCAAGAGGAGATGGACGCCATCGTCAAGGAAGCCAAGCTAGGCGGGCTACCCGTGGCGTGCCACGCAGGGTCAGCCAAGGGCGCACTCATGGCTATCAAGGCCGGCGTCGACACCGTTGAGCACTGCCAAGAGGCCACCGATGAGGTCTTTCGAGAAATGGCGCGCCGTAGTACCATCTTCGTCCCGACGCTCGGGATCATGAAGACTTCGCCTGATTTCAGCAGCATCGCGAAGAAGACCAAAAGGGCACACGACCTCGGTGTGCGTCTTGCTGCCGGGGGCGATACCGGAACATTTCCTCACGGGGAAGGTGCTTTTGAAATGGAACTCATGATCCAGGCCGGGGTTCCCGTCGTGGATGTGCTGGAAGCATGTGTGATGGGAGGCTGGGAAAGCTGCGGTAAGGAGAAGAGCGGCTTCTACTTTGGTTCCATCGAGAAGGGCTACCGAGCCGATATCATTGCCTTGGACGCGGACCCGAGAGAAGACGAGGGAGCCTTGAGGAAGGTCAGCTTTGTCATGAAGGACGGCAAGGTCTGGAAGAAGGACGGGCGAGCAGTCGGCTTCTTCGATGAGCAGACGGTTGATTCGAACCCCAGCACCGATGAGGAGTCGGATTGGACTTTTGTTTGACATGGCGTCATATGAGCTTCATTGAATTCGATTAGTCAATTGCTTGACCGCTCCAACTGGCCGTGATGAGCAGCAAGGTTACATTGCGCTGGCCGGATCATCACCAACAGGCGATGGATACGAGCTTGAATGCGACCAGACAGTCGTAATCAAAGAAATTCTGGCCTTCGGCACTTGATATATCGGGAAGCCCGGCTCTGCGGACAATAAACGGGCATCGCGTTAATTGATCTCGAGATAGGTCACCGGAGACGATCATCACTGGCTCATACGCCTGTTTTCCGTCGCATTTTACAGTCGGATCTGCCTCCGCACACAATCGGCCGAGATTATTCCTGGTAAAGCAAGTCAAGGACGTCAAAGGAGGGGTTGTTGGAACCGCTTCCTCCACATGCTCCAACGATCGCTACCACGTCTCCGCACGGCTCGCGCGGGCTAAGCCGGCGAAGCTTAATCCCCAGCCAACCTCTTTTCAGGATCCGTCGTACTTCGAGGCTGCAGAAATTGGCTTGCATATCGTGGACCAAGCTTTCCTCAGCAACCGGGCATCGGACGATCGTTTCGTATGCGAAGCTAATCGCACCTGTTCTTCCGGACATGCCCATATCATGCTTCCAGTGCCGCTACTGCATGTTGCCGGCAATGGAGGAGAGGGGAAAGGGACGAACGATGGGCAATACTACGCACACCTCAACTATCCGCATCATCTGCGCATGATCGAACGGCGCTAGAGCACCTAGAAGGATATTGGTCTCCGGATGACTCTCAGGGTTCGCGCAGCTGCAAATGTCCGAGGCTATGACTTTAACAATTATATCATGTACGGACGGCACCCGGGTGATCTCTTAGTCCCGTCCTTTCACCCTTCTCTCCCCCATTTGACAGCCGCCACCCGGGTAACCTGTCAAACATGAGGCCGTCTCTATTCTCCATCGCCTCGCTAGGCCTCGGGCTATGCTCCGCCGCATCCGTGGCGAGCAGCCTCGACGCAGGAGTTCGTTCGTCTCTCGCCCTCGCTCCCGTAATAAGAGTCCTGGACGAAAAGAGAGACCAGCTCCAGGACATCGTGGCATGGGACGAGCGCTCGCTCTTCGTCCGCGGCGAGCGGGTTATGATCTTCTCGGGCGAGATCCACCCTTTCCGCCTGCCCGTCCCGTCGCTGTACCTCGACGTCTTCCAAAAGGTGAAAGCCCTTGGCCTCAACACGGTCTCCTTCTACGTCGACTGGGCGCTGCTCGAGGGCAAGGCCGGTGACTTCACCGCCGAGGGCGTGTTTGATCTCCAGCCCTTTTTCGACGCCGCGACCAAGGCGGGCATCTACCTCATTGCGAGGCCCGGCCCGTATATCAACGCAGAGGCCTCTGGCGGTGGGTTTCCGGGTTGGTTGGCGAGGTTAAAGGCGAAGCTGAGGACTTCGGACCCCGAGTTCCTTTCTGCTACGGACAAGTAAGTCCTTTTGTAACTTGAAGGAGTCCGTTGGTAAAATCAGTAACTGATGATGGTAACCAGCTACATGGCAAATATTTGCGGCATCATCGCCAAGGCCCAAATCACCAACGGTGGCCCAGTCATACTCTTCCAGCCAGAGAACGAGTACACCAACTTCGAAAACGGCAGTAGTGCCGATGGGCCGTACTTCCAGTATGTCATCGACCAGGCTCGCAAAGCTGGGATTGTCGTTCCCCTTATCAGCAACGACGCCAAAGCAGCGGGCCACAATGCACCGGGAACGGGTGTAGGCGCCGTTGATATTTATGTAAGTCACTCTGAAGTTGTCACAGAGACTTAAGACTAATACGTTCTAAAGGGCTTTGATGCGTACCCGCTTGGATTTAACTGTGTGCGTAGCATCCTGAAACCCTTCCTCAAAAGTCTAGCAAATGGAACTGACCGCCGAGGTGTAGGCAAACCCGAATACGTGGCCGGATAACGCTCTACCAACCACCTACCACGCACTACACTTGCAAACAAGCCCAAGCACGCCTTTCACGATTCCAGAGGTAGGCCTGCAAGGAGCAATAGAGAGACGTTAGCTTACTCGTTGCAGTTTCAAGGAGGTTCCTTTGACCCCTACGCTGGGCCTGGGTTCGAAAAGTGTGCGGCGTTGGTTAATCACGAGTTTGAGCGCGTATTTTACAAGAACAACTTTGGAGCTGGTGTCACTATATATAATATTTATATGGTAAGTTACTTCGAGGTAGGGGGAATGAGAGACCGAGACTGACGAAAAACTAGATATTCGGAGGCACCAATTGGGGTAACTTGGGGCATCCGGGAGGATACACATCGTACGATTACGGCTCCGTGAGTATAAGGCAGATTGATCTGTTTCTGTTAGACTCACTGACGCTTTTCAAGGCAATCACGGAAGAGAGAACTGTCTCGAGGGAAAAGTACTCTGAGCTGAAGCTTGAGGCACAGTTCTTAAAAGTTTCGCCCGCATACCTGACTGCAACGCCCGGAAACTTGACCGTCGGTGTATACAGCGCAACTCCAGACATCACGGTAACACCTCTGCTAGGTAACGGAAACGGCTCGTTCTTCGTGGTCCGGCACAGCAACTACAACAGTCTTGCAACGACCGATTACACGCTTCGTCTGCCCACGTCGCAAGGAACCATCACGATCCCGCAGTCCCGCGATCTGCTGCAACTTACCCGCCGTGACTCGAAGATCGTTGTCACGGATTACCCGGTTGGGAACACGACTCTGTTGTATTCGACAGCGGAGATCTTTACCTGGAAACAGTACAAGAACCAGACGGTTCTTGTCGTTTACAGTGGACCTGGCGAGACGCACGAGATAGCGATCAAATCGACCACGACGCCTGTCCTCGTTGAGGGCACCAGCGTTGATCACAATTATGTGAACAACACTCTGCTTTTGGCATGGGAAACATCAAGCACTCGACGGGTAGTGAAGGTTGACAACCTGGTCATATACATTTTGGGTAAGTACACCAGCTACTTTGCACCACCTTGCGACTAACACAGAGAAGACCGCAACTCGGCATACAACTACTGGGTGCCAGATAAGCCCAGCGGAAGCCAACCGGCGTACGGCACGTCCATTATGAATCCAGACTCTCTCATCGTCAATGGCGGGTACTTGGTAAGATCGATCTCGATACAGGATGGCACTCTTAGAGTCCAGGCGGACTTCAACCGTACCACTGAGATAGAGATCATTGGCGTCGAGCCGGAATTCACCAAGCTGGAAGTCAACGGCAAGCAACTGGACCACACAACGAACAATCTAACCAACTGGATCGCGAATCCAGCCTTCGCGGGTGCCGCACCCACCGTACCGGACCTCAAATCACTCAACTGGACCTTCATCGACTCTCTCCCTGAGATTCGCGCAGGCTACGATGACTCCGCGTGGCCTCTCGCCGACCACAAAACCACAAACAACACAATCGCCAACCTCACAACCCCCGTCTCCCTCTTCGCCTCAGACTACGGCTTCCACGCCGGCACGCTCGTCTTCCGGGGCTACTTCACCTCAACTGGCACAGAAGACAAGCTTGACATCACAACCCAGGGCGGCTCCGCCTTTGCGAGCTCCGTCTGGCTCAACGACACCTTTATCGGCTCCTTCGCCAACGGACCTGACGCCGCGGGCGATAATGCCTCCAATTACACCCTGGCCAACCTCACCGCGGGCGCAACGTATGTTCTGACCGTCCTCGTCGACACTACTGGCCTGGAGGAGAACTTTGTCATCCCTGCGGACGTGATGAAAACCCCGCGCGGGATCATGGACTACAGCATCACGTCCCCATCTGGCGCCCAAACGAACGTCACGACGTGGAAAATTACGGGGAATCTCGGCGGCGAGGGCTACGCCGATAGGGCTCGCGGCCCGTTGAATGAGGGCGGGCTCTTTATTGAGCGCCAGGGCTATCACCTCCCGTCTCCACCCGAATCGGCGCTCAACACACAACGCTCGCCATTCGAAGGGACAGATGTGCCCGGTGTGGCATTCTACGCCGCGAAACTGGATCTGCAAATCCCCGCTACGGACCTCGACGTGCCCCTCTCCTTCGTCTTTGACGACATCGCAGCGTCAAACGGAACGGGTGCGTACCGCGCCATTCTGTACGTGAACGGGTTCCAGTACGGGCGGTACGTGAGCAATATTGGTCCGCAGACCAGGTTCCCCGTGCCCGAGGGCATACTCCGGTACCAGGGGACCAACTACATTGGTCTAGCCGTCTGGGCACTCGGCAACGTTGGAGCTCGCGTGCAGAACTTCCGACTCGATGTCGGCGAGGTGGTGACGACCGGTCGCGAAGAGGTTAAGGTTTTTGAGGCGCCGGCTTGGAGTCAGCGAGCGGGTGCATATTAGGACTATTTGGTGGACACTTTTTCTTTCTTGTACATTCGTAGTACATACAGCCCTGTGGTTCAAGCAATCAAGGTGTTTGCAGATCAAGCTTCTATTTTTATTATGATCGTGAGAGTGCGTAGGCGTTCTCGGCAGGAACTGTATTTCTGTCTATTCGATACAAGACGAAAGAAAATACACTCTCGGTCATCTGGCGTCTTAGAGGTCATCAACGAGAGGACTAGGTCCCTGCGGCATCCCAATCTTATCCTCAAACATCATCCTCAGAGCCTCCACCCTACCACGATCCGACATGAATCGGAGATACTCGGCAGAGTTGGTTGTATCCATGTCGAGGATCCCGGGGTAGCCGCCAGGCGCCGTGATATCCTTCCGAGCACTCCACTGAGAAGAATTGCGCTGGAACCCATCATCGAGGAGGAAGTTGGCAAACAGCTTCGAAGCCTCGGGGTGCGGCGCGTCTTTGAAGATAGCGACAGACCTCGGCCAGCTGACAAAGAGCCCCTCCGTCGGGAACGAGGCGTTGAGGCTGCCCGAGGACCGAAGACCGATGCTGGCGGTGAACGTGACGGACTGTGTGCTGTTGGGCTGGCGCAGGACAGCCAGGGGCGATCCCGTGCCGCGGACCCAGCGGGGCTCGTTGGCGAGGA